GAGTAATTTTCTCATTCTCATTTTACAATAAGTTGTCTTACTTTCAATTGACTTATAAAGAACAGTATTCACCAATTCAACAAATTATGTCACATTTCTCCTCTGCAACCAACTTCTGAAAAGCCTGCCTTAGTAATTCCAACTGGAGTAGTGACAGACATTACGGATTGAAAATTTGTGGACGGAAGCTTCTCATTACAGGGTAAGTCTGGGTCCTTGGTCTGAGAATTAAAGCAATTAATTCAATTCAAATTAGCTTTATTGGCATGAATGTGTAACAACAATATTGTCAAAGCATCATACAAACTACATAAGAACAATCAACCCCATACATTTCATTAAACAATTAATTAAAGCGTAAAGTAATTAATGCATATGTGTGTTTGAGTTAGAAAAATATAAATATAATATAAATATAAAATATATTAAAAATTCAAATAAAATAAATAAAACAGTAAGCGTGTGTGTGTGTGTGTGTTAAAAAAATAAAAATATATTAACATTAAAATAAAATAAATAGATAATGTTATGTAAAAACAAAACAATTACTAAAATATCAAACTAATAAATATCAAAATAATAATAATAATTAGAAAATTTGTGTAATTATTTAGCAGTCTGAGTTTCCACTGGTTGTCTTCACTTCATGGCATGAGGAGATATATTTTGCAGCAATTATTTGACATTTGGGCATTTCTCCCAGTAAATAGGGGAGTTTCTGTGTGTCTGATATGGTTTGTACAGCGGGGGGATTAGAGTCTGCACCAGGCTGGGTGAGAGGGGGGGAGTCCTCAAGGAAAGGGCTGTGGTCCTTCAGCAGGTGTAGTGGGAGTTTGGCTGGATGTGGTCTGGATCTGAGAGGAGGGTGTGACGGCAGAAAATTGTTTTCTTCTTACACTTATAATCTTTTATGTAAGTACTTATAAGAGTGCTACTTTTCTCCCTTTATTATGTCTTATATATTGTTTTAAATCTTTATTATTGTTCTTGTTATTCCAGTCTGTCCACATGTGTGGGGTTTAGGTCAGGGATGTGGGGTTGTTGATTGTTTTCATTACTAGCTGGTCTTCTCCTTCCTTGACTGGGACGAGTCAAGGATCGTTTTTTACCCAAAACATAGATGCTCAGACTGTGTAAATGATCATGCAACCCTTTGCTCTGGGACAGACATCAGTGACTGTCTAAAAGAACCTCTGGTCCAGCTGATTTTGTTACTTCTCTGTTTATTCTCTTTTGTTAAATAAATTCTTCAAAGACAACGGTACATTGTAACTCAATTATTTGCTCAACCTCTCACCAGGAATATAATTTCCACGACAGCACAGGGGGTTGTGTGGAGTTCAGTCTGGCTTGTAGACTGAGCCTGTCCCTGTCCTGTAGCTCTTCTCTCAGGATAGCCAACTCAGTTCTGAAGTTGTCTCTGTCCTTCCTAAGTTCCTTCATCTCCTCACTGAGATGATCCAGCTGTCTTCTCTGATGAGCTAGTTCTTGTTGAAGCTCTCTCAGCTGTGAGTTGACACTGTCCTGTCTCAGTCTTATAGCAGGAAAGTCGAGCTCAAACTGTCTCAGGTCGCCTTCTATCATGGCAGTTCCATTTTTGAATAGGTTTACTGTTATTCTGCTGGTGTCAGAGTCATCCTCTTCCTGTACACTTATTTTCCATCCATTACAAATGCCTGCTCTCTTTATTGCTGGGTAATGAGAGCTGAACGCATTCAGCAAGGCATATGGTTCATCAGTCCAGAAGATTAAATTGCCGGACCTTCCATCTTTGTAGTGGTCAAGGAATAGGATTTCTGGTCTTTCTCCAAGTATTGTTTGTTTATATTGTCCCTTTGCAGTTTTGCTTTTGAAAGCTGGGGGATATTTAATGGTTTCAGAGTGTGTAGATATCATGAAACAGTTGTTGATCTTCAAGCTTCTGTGTTCTGTTTAAAACTGCACTACTGCTGTTATTGATGGCATTGTGATTTCAGTGTCCAGTAGTTTGCCGAAAACAAGCGTTTAGCAGCAAGCCTTAAACATGACCTCACCAATTAAGCTTTAATTGTTTTTCAAGGTAACTTAATATTATGTGATGTAATATATAGCACTGCTTATTCCATTATTTCCACAGTATATTCTTATCATAACAACCACTGCTACCTATGAAACAAAATATCCCATCCTAATGTTAAAACATTTGTTTGTCAGGTGAATTGTATTCCTCAGGATAATTATATTGTTGAACAAACACAGTCAATCCAAAATATCATTGAACCTCAAACCTGAATGTTTAACTAAGAAAAAGTGAGTTTTTCTATTAGGCAGCAAAATTACAAAAAAATATATTTCTATCAAATTAAAACAGGAACCCTTTATCTACTCCATCATTTTCCAGAACTGTCTGAAACCTACCTGGAAGTAGCCTTCAAGGTGCCAAGTGCTCAGAGACATGGAGGATCAACAGTGAATAAGATTAACAAGTGGAAGTGTCAAGATTGGGCCAAGAAATATCTGAAGACAGATTCAAAGGTTTTATGGATCGATGAACAAGAGTGACTCTTGATGGACCTGATGGGCCATGGCTGGATCACTGATGGGCTCTGCACCACTTCGACTGAGGCACCAGCAAGGTGGAGGAGGGGTAGGCTACTGGTATGGGCTGCGATCATTAAGAATTAGATAATGAAGCAGCTATAGGACATAAAGAGCTTGTTGTTGACGGTGCGTGTTGTCCCAGCTGTTTGTTGAAGAGTAGGAAGAGTGTAAAAAGACTGGGTCCCGCTGTATTACTCAGGCTGCACTACAGCGTCTATTCACAGGCGCGATCCCACTACTGAGCGGCACGGGGGCTTTGACCTGCTCCGTTTCCGACCTGGGCCGGTGCACCCCTCCTTAGACGACCTGGTGGTCTCGGGCTCCCCCAGGAGCACCATATCGATACCGAACTTAGTGCGGACACCCGATCGGCATAGTCCGCTGCAGCTCAGAGCTCCTGAGCTCAAACGGTCCGCCAGCCTCAGCCTCCCGGTAGCTTGGATTACAGGCGCGCGCCACCGCACCCGGCGAGGATCAGCTGCTCTCATCGGGCTTTTAGCTCCTGCAAACGTGACGTCACCAGGGAGCACGCTCAGGCGGCATCTAGCAGAGGTGTGGAATCGAGTCACATGACTTGGACTCGAGTCAGACTCCAGTCACAAAAATTATGACTTTAGACTGGACTTGACAAAATCAGAGAAGACTTGTGACTCGACTTTGACTTTAACAACAATGGCTCCTGACTTCACTTGGACTTGAGCCTTTTGACTTGAGATGACTTGACACTCCCCATGCGCAACTATAAATTATGATATAAAAAACTGCGCAGCGCATAAACATAGCGCGGTGCTCAATTAGACGTGGCTTTCTCCAGCAAGAGGGAACAATCACCGACCGTCAGAAGCGCGATCTCTTGTCTCTGGCAAGAAAGTCATGTTTGACATATTTTAAATGTTCAACACTGTTAGTAAGGAGGGTGGCTGAGGTTTGAGTTTTAATTTGTAGGGGGTTTAAAGTAGTAATTACATTGTCATTTTGTAACATGTACCGGGTAATTAAAAAGTACTTATTTCTAGGTCCCTCCTAAACTCAAAAGTGTGACCTCTCATTGCCTTCTACCTACCAGTCGGCTCCCTGTCAGACTTTGATTAGTGTCCTTTATGTAGAAAATACTAACACTGTTGGTGGATTACACCATAAAGTGTTTCTTGAATGTTGTTATACAAGTTAAAGGTGCTTCTGTGCTTTACATTGGTAGCATTACTGTTTAATATTCCTGTTTTTACTGTGTCTCACTTACCATTAATCACTGGATGCTATGTATGACCTGAAGAGATCATGATTGTCAGCCTGAAAACCTGTGAAAATATAATCATTTGTATCCTCAATTCTAATTATTTCAAATTGAATGAAGACACTGGAGTTTATATTCTTATTCTATAAAAAGAATATAGCAAAGGTCTCAAAGAAAATATGAAAAAAAAAACTTTCACTCATGTATTTTTCTGTGTATATTGACAGATGCTGATGCAGTGATAGTGTCCACAGGACAAGAGGTTGTGCTCAACAGCAAATCTAACTGTCATGCCTGCATTAATGACTTAATTCCTAGTTATTTGATGATGTCCTTTGTGTATTTTCAGGCTCCAGCCTCCCTTCTGCTGTCCTGGCAGTCTTCTCTCCATCCAGTGCCGAACTCCAGTCTAACAAAGCCACTCTGGTCAGTCTGTCCAGTCAGTCTGTGCCTTCAGCAGAAGTGAGCTAGGCGGCTAGAGGGGTCTAGCGAGCAATTGGAGCTCTACCAGCATCGCTTTTCAGCAACCAGACCAGACTTTTTCCACCCAGACGTCAGACGTTTGCACATGTAGTGTCTTTGGTTTAACATACTTTAGAGAAATACATATACCTATACATTTCAATTTCAGAATAAGAATCAGATTAAGTTTTGTTTGCCAGGTATGTGTACACATACGAGGAATTTGACTTTGGATTGTACAATGCTCCCGATGTTGTTGCTCATACAATAATAATACAATAACACACAGGCTACAGTATAGAGAAACACAAATATACACACTATAAACAAAGCAATTCATTGCAATTGAGATGATTTATAACAACAATCACAATAAATTTCAGTTATAAAGCACCTTTCAAAACTACAGTTATGAAGTGATTCACAAACAAAAACAAATAAAAGAAAGCAGGAGATTAAACTCAATTCAATTGATGCTAACACAATTAATTTTATGTTATGACCTGAGTAAATACTCTGCTACTTTCCACAACTGTGTTATTAATTAATGTTGAATTATGTCTCTCAAACAGACCCACCTATTAAATTACAATATTAACTGCAGTAACTAGAAATAGATGTCAGATAAATAGAGACAGTGAAAGTACAGCATTTCCCCCTGACATGTCTAGTAGTGCAGCTGCAGAGAGATTTATTCTGAAAGTCCCCGGCCGGATGTAGCAGGTTGTCTCGAGCCTGGCCGCTGCTGCCGCTGCTGTGTGGATGATTAAAATGTCTAGCATAAGTTTTGACAAACCAAGTGTTTCAAAGACCTGGATCGCTCTGAAACGGCTGGACAAAAACGGTTCGTACAGTTTGTGTCCGTCCACTTTACGATCACTGAGAAACGATTGGTGAGCCACGTAACGTTAGCAGATGTTCGCGGTCTGTGTCCATGCCAACCAGCCTCTTTAACCCATTGTAGACTAAATGTAGATTATGCGCTCATCTTGGTCTCAGACCATGGTATAAATCCAAACTACGTCTACACACGTTATTCATACATAAAGTGTTTTCTTTTTACCCTCGCTAACAGACAGGTGTAGCTAGTAAAGCGTATTATCCATAGCTAAATGATCAAAGAGTGACAGCTGTATCTGACAGTTGAGCGTGTGTGGCAATTGTGGCAATTAAATGTAACGTTAGGCTATCCTATAATAGCCTACTAGCGTGGTTGCAGATCTAATAGGTTAACACATCTAATTTAATAATTTACTAATGCTTTATAGATCAGTTATGAGCCATTAATGAGAACATCTACATCATATATATCATTAGTAGTCAAGTTATTAATAGATGCTCAATTCCGCATTTATAAATGTAAATATGTCATTAATAAAAGGTTATCTGTTTCTCCCTTTCTCATAAGAAATCAGAAAAGCATACACAATCATCATCATGCAACTGTTGATAAGGTTTTTTTTTATTATAATAATCCATCAAGTCTAGAGATGTAAATGTTTAAAATCCCCTCCAGACATAATAAATTGTGCTTGATGAGGTTTTTTTTCTACATCTATGCCTGAAAAATACAGAATCAATGAATATACAAACATTTTCTATATTTTCTATATCAAGTTTAATGGCCAACAACTTACAAACACCTTTTAATGGCGGTAGTAGAAAACGGTTGCATCTCATGTTGCATCTGTTGCAGATGACAGAGTGGTGGCTCTTCGAGAAGTGTCTGTTCCTCCAGCAGCTGAGGTCACCACGATCATACAGGTGTGCAAGCAGTCCACTTTTATTATTGTACCTGCACAACAGGACTTTCACATCTGAAAGTCAGACCTGAGGGTTTAGAGTGCTCACAGCAAACATAGGATGTGTTGAGTTGGACAATGACCATTGTGTTTGTTGTAATTCTTACCTTCTTACTTGCTGATTTGGGACAAAACACACTTTTGGAAGATTTTGTTTTCAGTTGAATTCACTTATATCTTCACATTTGGTGGGATGATATTTTTCTATCTATTTTGACACTATTACTGTGAAAGCCACACACACATTACATGAAACTATGGACTTTCTTTGTTCACCCACTGACTTATTAAAACATTTTTAATATTACCAATGATAACTTATTTTGAAAAAATAACTGAAAATATCTGGCTGTATATTTTTTTTGATGTTGCATTTAATGCTATTATATTTTTTGATATCTCTTTTCAGATCATCACCTCTACCTTTGGGCTGAACTCTTCTGGTGTCATATTCAAGGTTCAAGGACTCCTTTGGCCTCATGTTAGAGATGCAGACCTATCATTGAATGCTTTCTGTTAGAAAGAAAGAAAACATGTTTGGTTGTAGCTGAAACTATCTACTACTATGGGGTCCGAATTCTTAAAAATAAATGGAGCTGGAAAACTTCTGCTTTTGTCTGTTTGCAGATAAGAAACCACCGTGGATGTCTGATCCCTCTGAACAGCTTGATCCCTGCTAACAGCAAGCACATGTAAGGAGTTTTGACTGTAGACTATAGAATTGACATATTTCTATACATTTCTATTCATATTCACATTTACCAAACACTTGTACTATGTATTTTTCATTTCAGGCCATATGTGCTTGAGGTAGCCAAGATCTTTCAGCATGGTAAGAGCGGACTCACCTTTTGTTCTCTTTTCTTAAACTGTGGGTCAAGATCTGAACAGGGACCTGTCATTTGGGCTTCTACATAACATGAGAAGGTTGATAGTGATAAATATGAATATGAATATTATTAAATATGTACCTAAGCTGGTTAGCTTAGCTTGGCTTGGACTAAATGATTAACAGATAAGACAAACAGGTAATAAGTTAGTGAGTTTTAGGGATGCTTTTAGCTGGAATTTATTACCTTTGGACAGAGCCAGGCTAGCTGTTTCTCCCTGTTTCCAGTCTTTGTGCTAGGCTAAGCTAACTGACTGTAGCTTCATGCGTATCGGACAGAGTGGTATCATTTTTCTTATCTAACTCTAATAAAGCAATTAAGAGCATTTTCCAAAAATATCAAACTACCTTTAAACTACAGGTAACACAGCAAGTTGGTGACACTTTTCTTTAAGTTTTACCTATTTCCTATTTAACATTAACAAATGCCCTTATGGCTGCACACACTACATTATAATGTGAACTATTTATTAAATGATTATATACTGATTATAAATGCTAGGTAAAGGGACTTAAAGTAAAGTGTTACCAATTAAAATACTATTTTAAATGCTAATGGCCCATTTAATAAAGCAGATGACACATTTTTACTGCGCAAATATCACTTGAACAAAGGAAACACAGTAGCACACACCATAGTTCCTGGCAAACTACACATCTGTCCTAAGTTTAAAATGCTCATGAACACCTGGGATTGTTGGTACTGTGTACTATATTCTCATATGTGCTCAATACACAGTGACAGTACTGCTTTATTTGTGCCTGTTTTTAGCCATACTAATTTTCTTATATGTTACTTAAGTGAAACACAAATTATTTAACTCAGTAATGGTCGTGGGATTGTCTGTTCCCAGTGCGTCCCAAACCCAGAACCATTCCCATGATCAACAAGAGCATGAAGACCAAGCCACAGGCTATTGACAGGAGGGTAAGACAAAGGAACCACATGGTGGTAACATTACCGAATGACTGGTTCACTAAATCATACAGACTGATGGATTTATTCAGCAATGCTGGTCTGCAATAAAATATTTGGAAGAGAAAATGTGAAGCTCTAACTCTCTTAAAGCAGGCAACCACATGTCCTTTTAAATGACAATTTAGTATGTTTGAAAGTGTGAATGAGGAGATGATCTAATACTGAAAAACACCACTGACAACAATACAAAAACTAATTTTCCTCAGGTGAGGTGGAAGTCTGGCCTTTTCCTTCAGTGAAGTGATAAATAAGCAAAGTAATCATGTGTTAATCACTTTGTGGGATCGTTTCATCCAAAACACTGCATTTGGAGTAGATACAAAGAACAAAATGCCCCAAACAGATTCTATGTTTTATTGCAGATTGAGAGACTGGAGGAGCTCCTGCCTCAGATCAAACTCAGGCGCGACAAAAAACTAAGCGAGGTATTTTAACTGTCCTCTAATCCTCAAATCCTGAACACAATGTCAACCATAACACAGCCATGTTTAAGAGTGTAACTGTGGCCACTTATTTGTGGTAAATGTTGTTTGATTGTTTGGGGAAATGTGTGAATATGAATGCGATAGTTTGTGTTATTATTACACTTTTATAGAGGTATTTTACATTCACACGCATCTCTACATCCACCTGACCTTGACCTCTCTGTCCTGTCTCAGGAGATTGAATGTCTCAACCAGAAGCTGAAGTTTCTTCATAACAGAATGCAGGTGAGTCATTCTGATCAAACATACAGTGCAAGCATCTAAGCTCTGTTCAGATTATTTTAGATCTGACAAAATAACAGATTAACTTTTAACAACTTTTTTAACAATTACAGACACTGCTACAGTTACAAGACAAAATTAATAATCTCAACTAGCAGCATTGTATTTGCTGGAAATGCTCCATAGCTTAGTAACATGGCACTGAGACAATAAAATCTGAATGTGAAAATCTAATATGGCACACATTTTGCATAGTTTGCAGCAATGCTTAGTTACTTCTAAATTGAAGGCTTTTTGTGTGCAACCTGTCTCTGTGTTACGATACTTGCATATTGCCATTAGAACTTATAGCTGCAACCTTCTCAGAAACAATTCCAAGGAATGTTTTCAAATAAGTCCCTGGGTTGTTTCGTCAGTCTTTGTGTTTCATGTTTGCACACACTGTCCTGCTCTGTTGCAGGTGGCAGATTCTCGCAGCTGGAAGGGAGTGCTGACCAGAGCCCCTCTGTGGTAAACCAACACATACATTTCTGGCTGTTTTAGAAGACATGAATCATCTGTGGGAATACGGTCACACTCATCATTCACTGCAGATTTGATCATGCCACCATGTGAGGATGGATTGTGATCTGGATTTTTACAATTTATTTTTATATGTATTAAAAACCTTGGACACGTCTTTCCTACAGTGTTTTCGGTATATGAACTACTTTTTATGGCCTATAGAACAGACATTTTATCTATTTCTTTCTGCCTGGAAATATAGTGAGAAATGGTGTGTGTCACTTTGTATAATTGAGGAACAACATATTTGTAAGGCTTTTGTGTCGGGCCCTACTAGAATTAACTCGGGAAGCCAATATGGCTTGACTGGCGAACAATGATTGAATAAATGACAGAATGTAACTTGTGATATAACCGTACTTTGTGTGTAACAGAAAATATGTGAAATAAAGGAGAAAAACAGTTTAAATTTTTAAGTCAGTTAGACGAGCTCATAGGAAAACATCAGGGTTTCTGCAGGTTTCACCTGGTCATGACGATGATGATGGACGATGACATTGACAAGCTACGTAATTAACAAGCTGGCATGCAGTGCACCTGCTGAAGGGAAAAATGGATCACCGGTGACTTTATCAAACATAACCTACTGCTGATGGATAAACTCAAGGGAGCAGACAGGGAGACAGAGAGAAGCAGGGAAAGCCGGTGTGTTTGCAGTGAGAGAGGTAAAGGTGTGTGTGTGAGTGCAGGGAGAAGTCGAGGCAGGCGCAAAAGCAGGTATGCTACATTTATGCAACATGAGAACCACCTCCCTTCTGTATTATTACAAGCATTTCATTTGTACATCAAAATCCAAAAGAATAATCTCCTCATTAGCTTAAAAGGAATAATGTTAGTTTACATCCGTAATTTGCTTTAACGTTAGGCCTACTAACCTCTTCTCCTCCGTGGTCAACACCGTCCTTTCTTCAGGACTGGACTGGACTAGAGACCGGCCCACCAAGTATTATTGGCAAGGCCATAAAGCCTTTGAATGAAAACAAACGCTGTTCTGACAGCGATGTACACTGTCTTGTTGGTATATATGTATCAATCTAATAAACTTAAACCTACATCATCCTCCCTATTCTGGTATTCTAAACAGTAATTAGCGGAAAACAAAAGACTGCTTGGTCAAGTTAACCTCCTCCTGAACTATCTACAACACATGGTGGAAACCTGAAATTAAGACAGAGAAGACTAGAGGTGAGACATGATCATTAATGAATATTAAAATTAATAAATGACAGATTTAGTGGTTTTTCAGTAGTTCTCTGGGAAGTATTAAAAAAATAGTAGTTATTGATTAGTTAATTAATAGTGAAGTACCACTTTCACCTGTGCGCTATTACTTACTAGTTAATCAGAGTTTCTTGTTAGTTAATAATAGTTACTAGATTGTTAATATTGTGTTACTCATTGTGGCTCGCGCACATTCTTCACTCGGACGCGCGCTTCATCGCAGTCGGAGACTCTATTCGTTCCGGTGAAATCACAAAATAAAATGCACACAAACGTGTCTCTGCTTGATGTAGACTGTCTGTACCACTGATGAACATATTCGGTTTTGATGAGAGAGAGAAAAAAACTATATGAGCGCGGATTAGAACCGGATCATCGATGGATGCATTTATTTACGGGTTGAGAGAAGCTGCACCTAACCTTGGTTTATAATCTGACCCAGATATAGACTGCAGCTCATAACTTCTTGCCTCAAGTTCAGTTCTGCCACTTGGACCGGCGGCCGCCTCGGGTCTCTCCTCCTCCTGCTTCCCCTTTCCCTCTTCAACCTGCTGGCCTCCATCACTTGTTAATTTTACTGAAGTGGAAGCTCCACTATAGCTACCACCAAACAACTGTGACATTTTAGCACATTTGGCAGCATCTGCCTGAAGGGCTAGTTTCTTTTTGGCCCTAATTTTTTCGGCGCCTCCTTTACGTTTTTTGTTCTCCATTTTTGTTCAGCAGCAATAATATGTGATTGCTCATTGCTGATCCGTTGAAGGGGGAGGGTGCATCTGACCTCCTCGGCTATAATTGGTCCAGCCCAGAGTCGATCATGACCAATTGGCCAATCCACCACCTTTAATAGTTTATACCGTTGCAAAAACAAACAAAATAAAAACATCGGCCCTCAAAAGAAGAAAATGCCCGATGTGCGAGTTTTATAGGCCGTTCAGACAAAAAAATAAAAAATAAATAAAAATAAAATAAAATAATTAATTAAAGTATGTACCTGCCCACAAAGCACGTCGGCCCATCGGGCAAATGCCCGAAATGCCCGATGGCCAGTCCAGCCCTTCCTTTCTTTTTAATTGAACTATCAAGATGTACAGTAGAGGACAAGAGGGAGGATGTTGACATAATAGAAACAAATGTGCTCTCAATGTGTTAACAAAGATCTTGTGCGATGAACAATGGCAACAACCAATAAGATGTGCTGTGATTGACACGTGAAGTGTTTTTTTTTTATAATCAATAAAGTTTTCCTCCTGAGTGAGAGTTCCAGCACGAGCGCTGATGCCCCACCGTGTTTTATTCCTCCGTCATTATTTATAGCTTAGTAATGGGTGTGCACGCCAGAACTGTTGAATAATCTAGCTCTGCTAACAGAGGAAGCTTTAGGATCATTGTACAAATAACTCAGCAGCTGCAGGTGCAGGTTTTGGTCACTTGATGCCGCCTGAGCGTGCTCGCTGGTGACGTCACGTTTGCAGGAGCTAAAAGCCCGATGAGAGCAGCTGATCCTCGCCGGGTGCGGTGGCGCGCGCCTGTAATCCAAGCTACCGGGAGGCTGAGGCTGGCGGACCGTTTGAGCTCAGGAGCTCTGAGCTGCAGCGGACTATGCCGATCGGGTGTCCGCACTAAGTTCGGTATCGATATGGTGCTCCTGGGGGAGCCCGGGACCACCAGGTCGTCTAAGGAGGGGTGCACCGGCCCAGGTCGGAAACGGAGCAGGTCAAAGCCCCCGTGCCGCTCAGTAGTGGGATCGCGCCTGTGAATAGACGCTGTAGTGCAGCCTGAGTAATACAGCGGGACCCAGTCTTTTTACACTCTTCCTACTCTTCAACAATCAGCTCTTTATGTCCTATAGCTGCTTCATTATCTTACTAAAGGTATTGGTGTCAACATAGAATATCTTTAAATAAATATAAAGCGGCTTTTTATAAGCAGATATTCAACTACATGACATTTAAGAATCAAAAGAGTTAGATGAGAATGTCCCATAAGAATGAAGAGGAAATGTTTGAACATCTCAGTGTGCCACAAAGATAAATTTAAACATCTCCACACAAACTAGAACTCTGTAGGAGGATATCTGAGACAACATTTCAAATAGGAGACCTCTAACAGTTCACAGGTTAGGTGGAGGTTTCTCTGCAGCTAGCCTCATTAACAAGGCCCGGGTCCCCCACTGACACTGTCCCCTTTCAAATGATGCAAATGTCTCTGCACGTCTAAATTTTTACTTCATTTCATATCATGCACAAACCTGGCACATTGCACATATTTGTTGTTAATTGTTAATTGTTGTTTTTCTATATTTTTCTATTGTCAATTTATATATTTATGTACACAATATTCTCTTCTGTTGCAACACGTCTGCACAACACAAACCAGAGTAATGCACATGTAAATATCTGCCACACTGTTCTTTCTCTGCAAATAGTGTATTATTTTCTCTATTCTTTTATTATTCTTATATAACTTGCATTTCTTTATTCCATATTTATATATTTATACATTTATCTATGTCAACTATGTATTTGTCTACGTGTAGCACTTTATCACCAAAGCAAATTCCTCGTATGTGTAAAACACTACTTGGCAATAAAACTCCTTCTGATTCTGATACTGGATGACATTTAAACAAAAATGAGCACCTTTTGAAAGTCAGAACTGATTAAGGTATTATTGTGAATCATTCAGCTCCACAGTGCATATATTGTCACATTATGCCATGTTAAACTGTTAAATCACTAGAGAAAATGTAACATGTTGACTGTACATGGCCTGTTGTTGTCTTCTGTAAAATAATCACTAAAGTTTCAGAGTGAATGTACAAAGGTAGTCATGTGTTTAAGTCTCACTGATGTAAACAAACCTTGTACAAAAACATGAATGACTTAGATTTAGTGTCTGCAGCACTGCTACTACAACTACTGTAAAGACCTTTGGGAGTGACGTAGACTCCACTGCTGTTTTAAATTTTGGTGGTGGAGTTATATTTTACCGACAGACAGATTTTGAAACACAAAAATTGTTGATCTTTATTGAAATAAGGTTTAATCAGTGAGGGAGCTTTAGGATCATTGTACAAATAACTCAGCAGCTGCAGGTGCAGGTTTTGGTCACTAGATGTCGCCTGAGCGTGCTCCCTGGTGACGTCACGTTTGCAGGAGCTAAAAGCCCGATGAGAGCAGCTGATCCTCGCCGGGTGCGGTGGCGCGCGCCTGTAATCCAAGCTACCGGGAGGCTGAGGCTGGCGGACCGTTTGAGCTCAGGAGCTCTGAGCTGCAGCGGACTATGCCGATCGGGTGTCCGCACTAAGTTCGGTATCGATATGGTGCTCCTGGGGGAGCCCGGGACCACCAGGTCGTCTAAGGAGGGGTGCACCGGCCCAGGTCGGAAACGGAGCAGGTCAAAGCCCCCGTGCCGCTCAGTAGTGGGATCGCGCCTGTGAATAGACGCTGTAGTGCAGCCTGAGTAATACAGCGGGACCCAGTCTTTTTACACTCTTCCTACTCTTCAACAATCAGCTGGGACAACACGCACCGTCAACAACAAGCTCTTTATGTCCTATAGCTGCTTCATTATCTTCTTGTTTCCGTCACAAAGCAGCTGTTTGTTTGTCCTGCACCGCCTCCACCTGGAGGAGAGGAGCAATGACCATCAATCACAGCAGTCAGTGCAGCGACACAGATACAGAAACTACCAGGGTTTATTTCAGTGGTTCAGTGAAGTTGATTGAGAGGAGAAATTCAGACATACAGAAAATCAGGACAAACATTAACACTGTTGTTCTTCTTTAGTCCACAATATTATGCAGGCATACAAACAACAAAACAATTACTAAAATATCAAACTGTATCAGAAGGTGTAGTGGGAGTTTGGCTGGATGTGGTCTGGATCTGA